CCCCCCCATGGTGTTCCCAGCCCTTCCATAGCATACATGGTCCATTTCCCCTCCATTGTGTCCCCAGTACATAGGGTTCATGTCCCCTCCATGGTATCTTCAGTCCTCCGATAGCACAAAAAACCATACAGCCTTCATAGTATACACAGCGGGCTCATCGTTCTCCTGTAGTTGGACTCAGCACCATCACAAGCCTCTCACTGTGACAACTGGGTGGTCTGTGAAGGGTACAGCACAGGAAGCGTCTGCTAGAGTGCAAACACTCCCACTGAAATTACCATGACCCCCCCCTCATGGCTCATTAGCCGGCTTCAGCAGAGGCCAGTCCCTGACTGAGGTCATGAGGGAGGGGCTCTGAACACTAGAGGGAAAAGCTCACGTTAACAGTGCTCCCTCCTCAGTCATCTTTATGAAGACCACTGACATATCTTGGGATAACCTAACAGTATCTGGAAGCCGGCAGAATGTGAGGAAGCTTGCTGGTCGATGCTGCACCTTAGGTGGCAGGGCACCCTGGGCGGCTGCCTAGTGGCAGCGCCGGCCCTGGGTCCAATTGACCACTTAATAGTTAATGGGCCCCAGACTTCAGCAGTCCATGAGACCTGGGTCAGATTTAACATTAGACACGGACACCCTGAAAATGTCACCAAGCAGTGAGTTTAGAATGGTTCCAAATGCTCATTTACCAGTTCAGAAACGAGCAGATTTGTTTGTTTGTCGTCTTTATCTATGGCAATAGTTGGAATTGCCAGATGTTCAGGCCTATTATAGGATGCGAAAATCCTACTTTATTGATTTCTGTGTTGCCCTATAGCCATTCATTTGATTTCCTGCATTTTTCCTGTATCTTGTTTCTTTCTTCGGTAATTATATTTAAATTAGAAAATATAAACCCAATAAACTTTTTACTGTAACCCAGAAATATGCATTATTATGTTTTAGATCAGACAAATTATTACAAATTCTCTTTTTCTTAATAGAAACAGAATGAAATAGAAGCCATTGTCAGTGTATCTGATGGACTAAATAAGGTAAAATACATGTAAAAACAAATCTCAGTAATGGTAGTTTGTGCATTTGTTTGATACAATTATTAATTTTAATTTTAGTTCTGTTAAACTTCTTTACCCTACCCTATTTATGTTTTTTTTTCCTTTCAAATGACACAACCCATCTGTGGCTGTGTTATTTCCCAACTATAGAATAAAATCACAAGATTTGATCATGCTGTTGATCAGTCCACAAGTGATCATGATTGCATTCAAGGTTTTCTACTTAGATTGGGGATTTTAAAACCTTACGCCAGTCAAAACTGAAAAACAACCTTGGTAGTGGTTTAATTTTAATATTTGCGTTGCTGTAGTGCACCCCAGTCCCCTTTATCTGTAATCTGATGATCCTGAAACATACCTGCTGGAGACAATTGAACCAACATGCAAAAAGCTAGATCAGGCCAGTCAGATTCAACCATGCTTTTAAATTTTGATGCATAAAGATTATGATACGTAGCACAGGCATTTAGTATGTTCAGCTCACTTTTAGTTATTCTCATCTTCTGTTTGCTCCTCTGCCAATCTTTGCTCGCTGAAGTTGAGTGATATGCCCTTAGAGGAGCATGTTACTCTCCTTTTCTTCCAATGTCCAGGTCTTGGTGCTTGAGTTTCCAGTCTCTACACTTGATTGCTGTAACAATTTTGATTAATTTGGGCTTTATTTTGCTTGACAGGTTTCTGAAAGAGTACGTATTTTGGTGACAGATGCCAATGATGAGAGTCCTGAATTCCAGAAAACTCCGTACATTGTGAATGTTCCAGAGGCAAGTGTAATACCATTAATAGCTGGGCAGTTCTCGCATAGTATCTATTACAGTTGAGAGATCTTCCCCTAACAACTGTGATCACCTCTTTAGCTCATTACAATTAGACTGTCCCATTATTTTTTCCTGGGCAGCTTTTCAATCATATACATGCATCAATGTGAAAGTGTGAGTTTCAGCTGTAATATAACAGACAAGGCAGTAAGTAAACAGTAGTATCTGAAATCTTTGCTAAATGCAAATCATTCTTCTAACTTAGGATACACCTCCGGGGAGCAGCATTTTTCAGGTGGAAGCCATAGACAAAGATATGGGTTCTGGTGGAAGCATCACATACTTAATGCAGGTAAATATTATTCTCATAATCTAAAATTAATTTGTCCTAGATCATACACTGATTAGAAAATGATGTTTGGTGTGTATTTAATGCTGATGTGACCTTTTTGAGCTACTTTCTGGCTATTTTCCAGTACTATATAGGGAAGAGACTCACCCTGGAGGAAGCAGTCGGTGGACATGCACTGTCATGCCATGTTAAATTTGATCTACTATGTGTGTGTTCTGAACTATTTGGTCTGGCTCTTGGGTTAGGATCTGCAGACTTTATATAAGCATTCAGCAATCCATTTCTCCAAAGTAGGAAGTAGTTTTAAAAGTTAATTAAGGTTGTTAGTTTTAATGGAAAAATAATTGTCTGTTGAACAGGTATCCAACTCAAAATAGAGAGTGCCATCACATTCAAGCTAGGACTTTGGGTTAGTACATAGTATAGTACATAGTATTTGAGGTTGAATAAAGACATAAGTCCATCAAGTCCAACCTATTGCTGATGTTTGCGTATGTATAGGTCCATGTATCATCTCCTTCTTAGGGGTACTTGTACCCCTGTATATTACGGTCCCTCAGGACACCGTCCAAAAGCTTCTTGAACGATTCCACACTCTTAGCTGAAATCACTGCCAGTAGCAGTGAGTTCCAGACCCTAACCGCTCTAACTGTGAAGAACCTCCTTCGCCCCTTGTGCTGGAATTTTTTTCCACCAATTTTAGGTGGTGGCCTCTAGTTCTTGTAATGGAATTAATCGTAAAGAGTTTGTTGCTAATGTTGCTATGACCATTGAACATCTTGTACATGAAAATCATATCCCCCCTTTATCTCCTTACTTCCAACGTGAACATGTTTAAATTGAGTAGCCTTGTCTCATAGCTCTGGTCCTCCATTCCCCTAATTAGTTTGGTTGCCCTCCGCTGGACTCTTTCCAGCTCAAGGGCATCCTTTCTGTGGACTGGTGACCAAAACTGGACCACGTACTCCAGATGAGGCCGAACCAGCGATCTATAAAGCGGCACAACTATAGACTTGTCTCTCAAATACATCCCCTTCTTAATACAGGACAAGACTCTACTTGCTTTGCTTACTGCAGCCTGGCACTGCAAGCTACCATTCAGTTTGTGGTCTACAATGACCTCCAAATCTTTTTCTATTTCTGACTTCCCTAGCGGCATACCCATAATTGTATAACCCATTTGCTTATTTTTATTTCCAAAGTGCATTACTTTGCATTTATCGACATTAAACCTCATCTGCCATATAATTGCCCACTCCCCTATTTTATCTAGGTCCTCCTGTAATGTTATACTGTCTAGGTCCGTTTCTATTACCCTCCCTATTTTTGTATCGTCGGGCCCCCCCATCTCTACCCGGGGGCGGTGTTACATTGGATACTGGGCCCCCCTTTAGGATCAGGCACTCGGAGCGACCGCAGGTCCGCTCCTGATGCTATATAGTATTCCCCTTTGCTCCTCACGTGACAGCTACAAAAAAGATTATGTAGGGAGGTGAGGGAGCAGCAGAGATGCTTGGCCAGCACAGACAGAAATTAATAACTACCAGAGAAGAAGAGAGCTATGATGTGCTAGGAGGGAGGGGGCAGTGTTAAGAATTTTGAGTAGTCAGATTTTCTAGCAAATTTAAAGGCACAATACAAGTGAATAAGAAATTGTTCATGGAAAGGAAACTGTCTTTTTAAGAATCATAAAAAATAAAAGAATATAAAATTAGATGATTGATTTCTTCAGAAAATTCTGAGTAATTGAGAAGTTCATAAAGGGAATTATTTTCATATTTATTTCATATAAAGGATGCCAATGATGTGAAGGCAAGTGCTCTGTGTAGATCTATGGTATTTATTGTTCATAAAATTGTGAGGTGAGTGGGAACTAATGAAATATGATAAAGTTCAGTGTTTGGCAGCGTGGCCCACCCTGATTTCTTGGTTGCAAAGCTATGTGTGTTGAATGTGTCCTTCTCAGAATATCTGTTTAATCCGATTTATGACTGTTTATTTTGAAATTACTGATGTGTTTTGCATTTAGTGTGTAAGTCTTCGTAGTAGACAATGTGTGTTGATTCTTTTGGCAGCATCACAGGGGCTATGAAGGACAGATCCAGCTGTGCTTGTAGGTTTACTGCAGGGAGATTTACAGGGTTATTCACTAAAGGATGAAGAGTTTGGAGAAGGCAGAAGTGAAAAATCTAGCCCAAAATAGCTGATTTGGAAAAATTCTCCAATTCAGCTCACTTTCCAGTTCAGCTATGTTGTCCTAGATTGTTCACTTCTCCTGCCTTCTCCAAACTCTTCACCATTTTGTGAATAAGCCTGTTAGTATCTTCAGGTTGCCCAATAAGTAATTCAGTATTGCAAAGATTGTACTGTTAATGATTTAAGGGATATCACCATCTCTAATGTGCATCAGTTTCTTAAATAGAATCAGTGATTAAGGGGACAATACCTCTTATCTTTATGAATGTTAGACATGTAAGCTGGAAAAAATTATTTTCGGTTCGGATTTTTTCATTATTTCGTTTTTTCTGGATTTCTGGATTCGGGGCCAAACTTCAATACGGTTTGGGGTTTTACGATTCTGCCAAAATCATTAGTTTCGGATGAGTTTACAAATGAATATTCATTGTGACTACCACAGAAAACCATATAAAGATAATAATACAAAAGCTGAAGCTCTAAGGCCTTGTTCACACCAAGCGCGTTACAGGAGCAGAGCAGAGCAGTTACAGACTGGAGCAAAACTGCGTCCAATGTATTCCAATGGTATTTTTAGCTCCAGTTCACATCGCAGCGTTCCGTTCCAGAGCAGGTAAAAAAACTGCAGCAGGCCCTATTTTACCTGCTCTGCAAACGCATGTAAACGCATCAAAACGCATGCAAACACCCTGGAACGCACTGGAAGCCCATTTTAAACAAAAAAATATTTTTTTCCAAAAACGTACCGGAACGCATCAAAAACGCGGCACAACCCACTGCACTGTGTGTGCAGAAACTCATGCAGATCTGCTCTGCATTTGGTGTGAACAAGGCCTTAGACCCGAATGGCATTCGAGAGTCCAAATTTCTGAATAGCATTCGAGAGTATCCAGAAAGCAATAGTGGTCTGGGAGACATATGCATATACATTCATAATATTAACAACTTGCTGACCTGGTGTTTAGACCCCCTACCTGGCCAGGCCATTTTTCAGTATTCAGCACTGCTGTACTTTGACTGACATTTTATACCATTTTTTGGGGACAGATAGAGCTTTCTTTTGGTGGTATTTAATCACCACTGGGGGTTTTATTTTTTACTATATTTAGGAAAAATTACTGAAAATTTTGGGAAAAAAAGGTTTTTTTTACATTATGTTAGGAAACCTTTATTATTACCCCAATTTCAGGTAAAATATAAAAGACGGGGTCACGTCAGGTAAATAGACACCAAACATGTCAAGCTTAAAAATTGTGCGCACCCGCAAAAAAACTAGCATACACAAAATTGACCATAGGCGATGCTTTAAAAGCTTTTACAGCTCATCAGTTTCGTGTTATCAGGGATTGATGGCCCTAGAATTATTGCTCTCACTGTATGTGAACAATTTAATATGTGCTTCATTGACATCATATGGGCCTTTGGAATAGTTTTTCCTGTAATTTTCTGTATTTATAAATGTTGACATGGCAAAAAACATCTCTGGGTTTCATGAAGTTAGAATTTCTAAAGCCCTATCTACATGGCCTGTCAAGTAGCATATTTAAATTACCTCATATGTTGCTGCTTGTTAAAAACCTAAAAAAAGAAACTAATGCAGGTACCACCACATCTAAGGTTTGGTAAGCTGTTGCAATGTATTGCATTTTTGTTCTTGCATTTAGATACCCAGTTTCAGAATATTTTATACAGTTATTTAGTTTCACTATTGTGTGGCTCCTCATTATGTTTGAAGAGCTATTTAACCTATTTGTTGCAGTAACACTCGTGTCATTCTCACAAATTGCTCTGTGAGGTTCATTTAAACAGCTGCAGTTAGGAGGTGCTGTGAAATACAATGGCAGCTGCCAGTGCCTGCAGCCGGTCGTGGCCATCTGCAGGAAGTCACAGCACAGAACAATTCATGCAATTGACCCTATTCACAAGTGTTAATTGGGGCCTAAAACACACATGTACTACTGTGGTGCAATGTGGTGCCCTTCATTGTGAATGGCCTCTTTACGCACCATGGCAGCACACCACAATGCATATACTGGGTATGGTGGTGTGCCACAGTGTTGAAAAGTCTTTTGAGTTTTCTGGTCCTTTTGTGGTGCATTGGCTGCTCATTCAAAATTAATGGGCTGCCTTAGTGTGACATAACATAACATGCGTTAACGCTCGTGTGTCGGACCGCATAGGTCAAGAAAATTTATTTTGTCTTGAAGTTAATACAGCAAAAGAGCAACAAAATTAAGCATAGAAAATTGTGCAATAATACATGTTTTGATTTGTTAATTTTACTTCCTTTTAAAGCAAGTTGAAATAGGATTCTTCAAGTAATAATTGGCTTTTAATATCATGAGAATAGTGTGCGTCTCTATGGCACTTCCTCGGTTAATGCCCCTGAGGTTTTATCAGCTGATAACAACTCACACCTTCACTTTTTCACATATAAATTTACACTCTAGCTGTATTTTATGTTGCTATAGTAACAACATCCATTATGGAAATAACATATCGGGAATGTATGACATGATCTTTTAATAAATTCCATAAATGCTATCTAGTTCAAAGATACTAAAAATGTAATATATATAAACAGGCTTTTTAATAAAGGGGGTTTATGCTGTGTGGGGGTTTACGCTGATATGATATTGAGCCATGGTTGCATCTAATTTTTGTCCAGTCCATAGTGACATTTTTAGAATTGTAAGTCTGTTATATATTTTTCAGTTATGCAGTACTTGGGGTCGTCTGATTTATTATTTTCCTTAATTAGCTAAGTATGTTTAGATTCTACCATTAACCATTTACTTTAAGGT